GTTCCATTCCAGCTTCTTCAACTCAAAGAGGACGAGGTCAAAACAAGCATTTTTGGACAACACAACAGGATGACGCACTGATAGAGGCATTGTTTGAATTGAGTCAAAACGCGATGTGGCGGGCTGATTGTGGTTTTAAAAATGGGTATTTGCTTTAATTGGAGACAATGATGGAGGCAAAATTATCAGGTTGTGCCATCAAAGCATCTCCTCATATTGAATCTCGTGTGAAATGGCTTAAGCAAAAATATTGTGCAATGACAGATATGTTGTCTCTTAGTGGGTTTGGATTGGACAATGATAAGATGGTATTACAATGTGAAAAAAATGTGTATGATGAGTATGTTGAGGTACATGTAATAAACTTTTTTCACAATGGTTGTTACTTGGTTATTATTTAGTGAATTAACAAATGCTATTTAACTTGTTTAACATAAGCGAAAAGATGCTGCTGGTTTATATGAAAAACCTTTTCCTCATTATTACACTTTGGGTGAAATTTATGGACGTGATTGAGCTACAGGCATTGGTGCTGGAAATGCAGATGATGATGAGGAAGAGGTTCGCCAACAAGATACCATGCATGTAAATTTAGGTGTTGACTCAAATATGAATGCCTTTAAAGAGAATTTCATGGAAAATGATATGTACTACAATCAGCAACCAAGTGTTCAATAGGGCCAACCATCTGAGAGCTCTCCAAGCGTTTCCACTCACGAGACAAAGACCAAAGGTAAAAACAAAGACAAGATATTTGAGAATATGTGCTCCAACATTGGGTCGATGGCTAAATCTGTGGCAGCAATGGTACCCAAATTAGATGGTCTCATTGATGTGCTTTCCACTGCTGACAAGGATTTAGCTGGATTACAAGCCCACTTGTATCGAGAAATGCTGAAAATTGATGGCTTAGATGATGATCAAGTATATGATGCCACCAATATTTTAGCAACAAAGCATGATTTACTACGTGTATTCTACAATATTCCGGATCAACTCAAGAAAGGATACATCCTCAAAATTCTTAGTCATGGGGTTTAAGTGTTAGATTAGCCAATTATTAGTTTACTTAGATTATTCCGGATATATTTTTTGATTTATGTCTTGGAACTTCTTTTTGAAAGTTTATGACTTAAAACTTAGTTATTTTGTTCTTATTTTATTTCATCATCACATTCTTTTCTTGAAATTGAGTTAAAATTTATTAAGAAAAATAACTTAGATGAATAATTTTGTGTGATTAAAAAAATCTAATTACTAGTTAGTTATTCTAATATTAAGATAGTTAGCATAATATACAATTTCTTTTTAAAGTTCAACACACAAAAATCTACTAAAAGGGTAGGTAAGTAAATTTATAACAGTTTATTCCGATTCTGAGTGTAAGCAAACGCATGAATAGGATTGGGATTGATTCCGATTCCAATTCCTGAAACCTAAGTAAACAGCTTATTTTGACTCTGATTTCTGACTCCGATTCCTGCCCACTTCGAATCATGTCCACTCCGATTACGAATAAGTAAACATATCCTTGGTTTATGTGGTGTGACTTGTGAGGAACCTCGAGGATATCAGAACATGGATGCTTTGGCTATTTTTAGCCCCAAATTGAATAAACACGCGATTTTACGAAAATAACCCTTTGTAATCGGGTCACGTGAGGGTCACCTGGGTTTTAATGTGGATAATTTGACAGAACTAGACCAAAAAGACTTAATTGCACCTATTTAATAACGGTGAGGACTATTTTATCAGAATTAAAAGAACAGGGATTAAAATGTCACTTACTAAAGAGGTTATGGACCATTCGTGCCAATCATAGGTCAAAATTTAAGACCTATGATTATTTGACTTTGCTATGAGAGAACAGAAAGAATGGATTGAGTGATTCTCTAAAAAACTGCAATTTAAACTAAAAAGATTGGAAAAGAGAATTCATGGAAAAAAAATCAATTATAGAAAGTTCTTCTCTTTTGTTACACTAGTTAGACCGCGAGCTCCGTGCATGATTATGCCTAAACGTGTCGAAAAAAAAAGCGATCGCGATAACACAGTTAAGACGGTCGTATCCATACAGAGAAGACAAATTAAACAATAAATCATTAGCAAATAAAAAGCGTTATGAGATAAATAAAAAGGCGGACCCCAGTGCCAAAGAGGCTCCCGTACTATGACAGGCTCGGAGGAAAGCTCAATCCCATGTGTACGCGGTCTTACCCCCTGAAGGAGAGGCCGTTTCCGGGATTCGAACCCTGGACCCCGGGTGCAAACCGTTATGAGATAAATAATAAAATAAAACTAAAAAAATGGAATTTTTGTTGAGAAATTAAAGTATACGAACAATATATGAGAAAACTATATATAATTAAAACCTGTAAGGCTACAAGAATTCCCTATATGCTTCTTTCACCCGATTGGATTTTGATTTTTAAGATTATTCAATTGAAAGTTTCACATCTCAAACTAACAATCGGAAAATAAAGATTTGAAGAACATGTAAATTAAAATGTATTCGAGTGAGTAAAATTCTTATGTTGAAACTTAATAAAAATTATTCTTACAAGAAAATCTAAATCGACAATATACCGTTGGCAATATTGCAGTAAAAAACTACCCATAAAATAATATTATCTATATAATTATATTGAGCAACAATTATATAAAAAGAGCATGACTAAATTTATATAAAAGTTGACAACGAAATATATCAATATGAGAAATTAGAAAAAGATAAAAAAAAATGAATCACTCAAATATATAAATTTTAGAGAATAAATAGAGAATCAAAATTCACTCAAGATTACTTCATATATAGGTTTCTCTCTATCCTCATTAAAGAATTTTAGCTTAACTTGCACATAATTCTCACAAAAAAATTCTAAAGAGAAAATATGAGAAGTAAAGCAAGACAAAATTTGAGAGTAAAAGTGTCTACTTAGACTAAAATTCAACAACCAATAATCTTTACAAAGCCTCAATTTATAGAATTTTTAGGGCTTGTTTACACATAATACTCAGCAGCAAAAATAAAAGAAAAGAAGAAAACGTTTCCAATTAATTGGAATCTACAAAGAATTTATTTAGATGATAAAAGCTCATTAAATGAGAGAAGACAACAGAGTTCTTCACTGAAAAAGGAAGTTGGAAGGTTGTGCACGGTGAGACCCATGGGTTTCTTGGGTTGTCTTTTGCGCGTGGAGGCACGCATGTGTTTAATAAACATTTCCAAATAAAATATTAAAATAAAAATCATGAAAATATTTAATAAAATTTTAAATAATTTAACATTTATCAAATTAATAGCAGTGTTTAGAGTACATATTTATCCACTAATCAGTGCGCGTGACACCTTTTGAAATAATGATTATACTAGTTATTGGGAAAAACGAGAGAAGAAAAAAAAGAAAAAAAGAAACAATGACAAAAAAGTAACTAAAAAAACCAAAAAAAGGAAAAAAAAAGTAAAAAAGGTAAAAAAAAGTAAAAAGAAAAGAAATAAATTTTAAAAAAATTAAAAAACGAAAATAAAGGTAAAAAATTATTTAAAAAAGTAAAAAAAAAAAAACCAACAAAGACAAAAAAAAGGAAAAATTAAAAAAAAAAGTCACTGGAAAGGGGAAAAATAAAAACAAGTTTTGCTGAAACGGGGGTAACATGGGAAACCGAATCTTTCTTATTTACTAGCTAAAAATTCGCGCATTATTACGTTGAAGAGGGGGAAGATGGCAGCTTTGCAGTAGTGACCTCTGGCACTTTTTCCTTCGGCCAACCGGACGTTGACAAGTGGCAATCTTAGAGTGAAAGACGCAAAAATCCATGCGCAAGAAAGGGAAAAGAGAAGAAAAAAATGAGTAAAATTGACAATGCACACTCAAAAGACAAAGGACATAAACGAAATTTTAAAAATATTACTATACAATGAATAGTAAATTGTGAGTGTTCCTCTCTTTTAGTATATATAATAATATGTATAGATTTTCCTCACCTAATTTATATACTTTTCTTTCCTTCATATTTTTTCTCGAAAAAAGTATATGATTTAATATAATTTTGTAGAGACATTATTTATACCATTTTAAATAATTGAGTAACATTGTAACCTTTTATTTTCTTCTGATTAATTGAATGAGAATTATTTATTTTTTAGTGAAATAACATAAATAATATTTTTTTTATGAGTTTTCTTTCCCTCATACCAAATACAACCTAGCCCATCTGTAGCTTTCAAGATCACATGGAATGCCTCCACATACATAAATAGAAGAACTCAGTTGCTCCTATCATGATGATGTAACAACTTTTGAGTCCAATGCCAACCATAATCTCTAAACACAGTTTAAACTTGAAAAGAGATTTCAATGTCCAACCAATATTGGTCTTATCTTGGAACTAACTATGCCTTGTCCACCTCTCTTGATTGCCCTATACATTTAATGAATTATGTCAATCTTGTGTAGCTAAAAACATTTTTGTGTTGTTATTTTCAGATAATTATAGTGATAGATACCATCTTTGACTGTAGCATCATTAATTATAGGCATGAAAAGACTAGAAGTGTTGTTATGTAATCTCAACCCTATATGAGTTAGTATTTAGTCGTCACTTTTGAGTATCGATCAAATCTAATTCATGATTTGTTAAGTTTTCTTTTAGGTAAAATGGTTCCAATTTCCAAGAGAAAATTGTCCTACTAATTTAATTTTGTGAGATTAGTTGTTCCAAACCAATTCTAGAGGTTTTAGTCGTAGAGAAAATTTAACAGTCAACAAAAACATTTCCTACATCTTTAACTAGTGGAAGTGTTGTATTCATTTTTTCCGCTTTCAGAGGTGTTTAACCAAATGCCTCTCAGCAAGGGGTGTCGTCGTAATTTTGACAAAATTTTCAAAAGTAATTTTTGACACCATATGAAGCATTTCTTTTCCAAGCAAGAACAACAATAACTATAATTCCTTTTGGATGACAATCTCTGGACATTTCTTTTCCAAGCAAGAACAACAATAACTATAATTCCTTTTTGATTCTCAAGAGTTTATATTCGCGTGAGTACAACATATGAAGCATTTGCTGCTAAAAACTGTTCAAGAACTTGCAAATTGGACTAACCGAAAACCGAACTTGCATCGGCATAAACTCAGGGATACAACAAAAGAACAATTTGACAACTAATTCAAACCGAAAGCAGACAATAGGGGCCACCTGCAATCTTTCAGTATCACTAGCTATTTTTTATTATTATTATTTACGATGAGCCTCAACATCAAACTCAAGCCCTGGGGGCTTGTTCTTCTTTTGCTGATATTTGGCATATGAATACCATACTCCGCCAGCTGTGTTGATGGCCAATCCTGTCACATTCAAAGCATGCACTTGCACGCCTCCCAGTACGACAAAACCGAGAGTCTGGAAAACAAGAAAACGTGAGATAAATGGATCGTGCTTGTAAATGTTTTATATCGGATAAACAAAGGCACATGATCTATTCCAAGAAACACAGAAAAAAAAAATCAAGCGAGAAGTTTAGTGGTCACCAGGATTTGGTGTTTTCAGGAGTTGTTTTCAAGTTCCATTTCACCAACTACTCTACAACAACAAGATGTGGTTAGCAGCACATACCGTGGACCCGACCCCTTTGAGGACGCCAACAATGGTTGTTGTTAAAGCTGAGTTGACTATGGTACATAAGAACATGGTGAAGTTGAGAACAATGCCCATCACCAATGAAAGAATGAGTATAACCAAAAAATATAATGAATTGCTCTGCAAAGAAAACAAAGACAGTTCACCGTTAGTAGAAATCTAGGTTTTGTAGGATCTTGGTATGTTTTACTACTGATTTAACTATCCCTGAGATATACTACCAATACATTAAAAGTTTTGCTATATTAGGAAAATCCAAAATCACGAAGAAAATAAATGAATTGTTTATTATTATCGCTTGATAAGAAAATAATAGAGTTTTGCAATATAGTTGCCAGCTATGCCCTGTATCTTCTTAAAACTGCCACATTGGTAAATCTTGTCATAATATCCACAGAGAATCAAGGCATGAAGTCTCAAGAAAATCTCGACAATGGCATTAAATAAGCAGATGCAGATGGAAAACATCAAAAAAGAAAAGAAAAACCAATTACATAATTTATGAAGATGGAACTACTGTTTCACTATTCGGTATTCACAGTACAGATCTCGTGTAAACTTTCTGCTATAAAAGGAAAATATTTCAACAAAATTAAGATGCTTAGCCATTATAGTTTAATATCTAGAAAAAAGAGTCCAAAATGAAGTCTTCAAGCAGTTACGCATCCTTTTCTCAAGCAGTAATGACTTCCAATGCAATGAACATGAAAATAGTTAAGATTCTAACCTTTGCAAATAATATTGAAAAAGAATTCGGAAACTCTCCCGTGGCGATGATGAGAAATAACAAGAATGGAAGAGACAAAAAGCTGTTATAGAACATGATCTCAATTGATGACAGTCCATCCTCTGCACCAGACTTCTCTACCAAGACAAGGTACATGGTCTGCAATTGATATTAAACACTTCGGTTGGTAAAAGATGAAAGCTTAAGACAAAATACCTCAGCATATAATTTTTAAGGAAGAAATAAGAACATATCATATGCATTCATAGGCAGGAAAACGCACGAGACTGAACCTGGAAAAACACAGAAGTAAGGGCCATGCTGTATCCAAAAAGGTCAAAGGAAAAGTCTCCCAGTGCAGCTATGATGACGCCAGCTGCAGTCAATATCACAGAAAGAGTAACCTGAAAGTAGAAACACAAGATTGAAGCATTAATGAAATATTAACTTGCCAGGAAATTCACACACCTCACATGGATCTAGCTTTCAACAATATAGAACACGTTGTGAAAGATACTGAAGGGGGCCGTAGCTCCATTATATGCACGCTAATGGGGCAAGTATGTTTCTCATTGACATCGTGTGGTTCAACTTCACATGCTTTGTCCTCCTAAATATTATATTCTAGCAAATATGTACTGAACCATCAGAAGTAAAAACTGGCAATAAAAAAGTTGACGGAGCAAGGATATGATATGATGGCAATGTCTATGCTTATTATCTTTGCTCACATAGTCTAGCTATGCTTGTCTAAGCACAACTCATAAAAGAGCCATCCAACCAAGTTTTATTAGCGATGTCCTAACGAATTTCAGCGAGGTGGGAATCAAGTTCTATTCTGAAAACAAGTCTCATGCCAATCTTTTCCTACATCAATATCCATCTTTTAAGAGAAAAAAACACACATAAAGGAGTTTTGAGATTTATTATTGCATTTACTGGGGAAGTCATTTCTCTTTTAAAATCAACTAAACAGCTTTGATCATTTGTCTTCTTCCTTTTTAAGGTTTTCAGTTTGTCCTACAATCCCGAAGCAACTGCAATCCAATTGCACATCATATCTTAAATGTTTTACTCATTCTTCCTGTGCATCATAACCGAAAATATATACATAAAGAAACAATTTTTAAGAGTCCCTAAGTTCATCCAAAGTCTTGATACCAATTTTTTTCTTTGCAAGTAGTGATCCCAAAAAGAATATTTACGGGGAAAAAAAAAACACACACACACACACACACACAACCAACAACAGCAACAACAACAACAAAACTTCTCTAGAATGTTTCCTAGGGAAGATACACTTGGATAAACAGCCAAGAGGTTATCAAATGTACAACGTATTACCGCTTTGAAAGGGCCAAAGTATACCTGTGCTGTAGGCCTTCCTTTTCCTGAGAAGCACCCGGCAATCAGTACAGCAAGTGGTGTCAGTCTCTTAATTGCAATGTACATTGGAATCTTAACTCCCTTCAAACTTGCCAAGGCAAACGCCACATTAGCATTATAGAATAGTGACACTGGAAGAAGTTTCTTAGCCGTTGTCATATCTAATCCTCTAGCTTTTGTGTACCCCGATCTTCGACAGAAGTGTATAAGAGCAGCAGTTGCCAATTGCTGAGAAAAAATTAAACAAAAAAAAGGAAAAAAAAAAATCTTCAACTTCCAACTCCATTTTCAATACTGAAGAAAAGTTACAAAAAGGGGAAAAAAAAAGTTCTTTCATGGAAAAATAAATATTTGTGAAAGGGTACAAATCAAAAACCCTGAACCCTGACTATCTTCCCTTCCAAGTGTGTTATGTGTAAAGGTGAAAGGGAAACAATGGATCATCTACTTCTTTGTCTGTAGCAAGAAACTCATGACTCGCATTCTTGAATGAAACAAGTTTTCTTAGGGTCTTTCCTGCTCATTTAAATCGGTGATGCTTGAGGAAACAATGGGCTTTGGATAGAATAAAATGGCTGGATGTTGTGGAATTGTATGGTGATCTCAATTCTACGAATTGGACGGAAAGGAACGCAGGAACTCCAGAACTTTTGAAGAGAAGGAAATGGAGGTGATGGACAGACAAAATTTTCAGCATCCTTGTGGGCTTATAAATATTTTTGAGAAGCGTACAAGGCAAACGCCACATTAGCATGATAGAATAGCTACACTTGTTTTGTTATCGTTTTAGCTTTCTTTTTGTTTTTAGGATTTTTCATGTTCTTTATATTATAGTCATAACAAAGGGAAGTTTTCTGATGAAAAAAGGGTATTACCTGCAGAGTGAGAAGTGTCATTGAATGTGAATATTGCATGAGGATTGCTTTGTTGATGAAAACCATAGCCATGGAAGCAATCCCATATGACAATGCCGCAAACAAACTACATTGACATTGTAGCACCAAGTTACAACCAGTCTGATCATGGACTAATACGAGTGTGTGTGTGTTCATTCAGATCAAAACACAAAATATATTCTAAATTGTGATAAACTAGATTGCATAACAAATTTTAACCTCACAAATGAACTAGCTTCTGCATCATTACGATTCTCCATGGCCACCCAAGATTAAAAATGATCCAAGATTCAGACACCCAATTCTTTATCAATCTCTCTGTAACTGTGGGAACTGAAAAAACCAGCTGCAACCCAATGAAAGAAAGATTAAAACTTTGTAATTTTCCAAGATGACCCAATTTACTAAAACATGAGAACGCGGCGAAACAAGGAAAATCCAGATCGGAAAAAGAAAGAAAAAGATATTGGATCAATCAGGAACGATAAATGAATAAGAAGCAGAAAAAATTACCTGCTTTGTTTCTTTCTATTTTCAGTTACATGGTAAGCGTGAAAGATCGTTCTTGGAATTGAAAAGCAAAGTGGGCTTCTGAGAAATGGAAGAAATGAAGCCTCAACTACGAGGTGGAGAGAGAGAGAGAGGAGTAAGGCGCGTGAGGAGAGAGAGAGAGAGAGAGTGGAGTGTTATATAGGTAATGGTCAATATGCATAGTAATACAGAATCTTTTGATGAATAGAATATGGTAATAGTAAAAGAAAATTGATGAGAGAGAGAGAGAAAGATGGTTGATGAAAAGGGAAATTAAGAGAAGGAGAAGGTGATACTGATGAAATTGAAATGTAAAGAAAGAACGAATCCGAAATAATCCACATTCCCACAAAACATTTGACAATTTTGAGAAAAAAGGCCAAAATGAAAACAGCTGGCGAAAAGTCTCTCTCTCTCTCTCTCTCTCTCTCTCTCTCCGGCTAATCGGCGCTTGCATTGCGAAAGCCATCGCCATCAGATGTGGAATGGGAATTAGGATTGGTTTTCTTCCCCCAATCCTCCTTTTTAGGGTTCGTGGTCGTTTTATTTTTTAAAATATAAATATATGTATATTTGTATTAATATATGATTTACATATTTGGTAAAATCTTACTTTTTTTTAGAAAATATAAAAATAAATTTGGCACTTGAATTTTTTCTTGAAAAAATTAGGTTAGTATTTTTTTTTGTGTTTTTTAATATTAAAATGGTAGGCTCAAGTGTTTATTTTATTTTTTTAAATCAAAAACTACTATTCTTATTAATTTAATAGTTTCTATAGGTAGAGGATATTCTATTAATCAAATGAGCTCATAATCCATATTAAGATCAAAATAAGTCAGGAGATGGGCTAAATTATTTGCCTCCCAAAAAAAAATAGTTAATCTTTATTCCAAGAAAAAAAGATAATAAGTCAAATGCATCTGATAGTTACAATAAAAATGATTAGTCTTCAGAGTTTGAATCAATGTCGATGAATCAGATTCTTAATTTAAACTAAGGAGACGTTTGGTTCATAGACTAGAATCATAATATTAGAATTATTTTTAATTTACGTGTATTTTTTATGAGAGAAAACACTGTAACGAACTATAAATCATGATTCGAATCGGAGTACGAATTTCTCAACTAAACAACTTTAAAATAATGATTTTAATTTCAACCTCACAAGGCGGTAAAAGCACCGTCTAATTTTTTAGTCAAAGCTGCTATAACAAATCCAATAAAATCTCTTGTAACAGTGATCTAACTGTCATTGCCTGCGATCCAACTCTCATTGCCTGTTGCGCGATAGAAATAGCTACATCTAGACTGAGCTACTCAAGTTTTTAATTTGACATATACTGCGTGTTGAATTCCTGCACTTGATTACTATAAATATAGAGGCCAATGGTCGTTTTTGAGGGGGGTTTTTTAAATAAATGACTAAAGTTTTGTAAAATTAAGAAAATTGTCTTTTATTTTTTTAATTAACGGTCAATTATTAATTGACTTAAAATATCACTAATTAACTTAGTAATCAATCACTTCACTGAGTGACTTTAATTTATCACTGATTAACATTTAACTCAATGATTCTTAATCATTAATCAATATTGGTTATTAACTAACCAAAATCAATTGTAATTGATCAATTTTAATTAATAAAATACATGTTTATTAATGATAAATTATTAATAAAAAGTAATAATGTATCGGTCAATGATTGATTGTGGCTCAATCACTAATTAGCTGTGGGTTAATAATTGATTGATTATTATAAAAAACAACTATTTTCCTAAAATAAAATAAAAAATCAGCCATTTGTCTAAAAACAAAAAATTCATCCATTTATTAAAAAAAAAAAAAAAAGTGGTCCAAAAACTATGGTTTAGCTTTTTTTTTTTTTATTACTATCGGTTTGATATTTTGACCTTCTCATTTAATAATCGTATTGTTATTTTTAAATTATTTGAAAACTAAAAGTTTGCTTTTATAAATATTAAGGTTTTAAAATTTATATCAATGTAATATTTGAAATAACATTATATATTAAAGTATAAAATATAATAAAATATCAAATATGTTATTTTTATATTTTTTTGGCGCCTCATATATCATTAATGTTAACACATTAGAAATGATCTAACATTATAATATTAACATTTACATCTGCATGTTGTAACATTAAAATATCAAGTTTTAATTTCATTAAAAAAATAGAGTTATGACGTTATGATTCAAAACCATAAATTGGGTTAGAAATTAGTTGAGTTTGTAAAATTTTGGTTTTAAAACGAGGAATCAATTCCTTGATACAAAGGGAAAGTAGACTTTAGGAGGCTATTCATATTTCATTCCTACGTACAAACAATAAAAAGAAAATGGTAAGTTGGATAGTTACATGTGTAGGTGTAACATTTATTGAATTTTAGTACATGTTTCACTATTTTCTCTCCATTAGATGAGCGATTGCATACGAGTACATGAATGTATTTACCTACCGAATTTGCTCGCTTGATGTAACCATGCCCTAACCAGTTAGCGATGTAACAAGCAAATTGAGAAAGGAACTTTTTTTTTTATAAAATGGAAAATTTTCATTTAATAATTAAGTCAATACAAATTTTAATATAGTCACAAATAATCACTAAATACAAGAGTATTTAATCACGGACACAAACTAGATCCACCAGTAAAAACGACTAAGACGCATAGGTGAACACAAGTACTGAAACCCAAACGGAAAAGACCCACTTGACACATTGAGTGTGACAAAAACTCGTTTGACAAAATCACTATCTATAGTCTATGAATAAACCAGTCGTCTGAGACTAAAAGACCCCGAGTACAAGGTCACTCACAACACTGCATATGATCAAACCTAGCAGACTAGACCTACCATCACCATAAAAGGGTGAGGCGACAACTTTCATTATTAGACAATAAAAACATAACAACTGAAATGACAGAATCAACATCCACATTAAAATAAAAATAAAAACAAGTCAAAAGTCTCTAGTCACACGAACGAACAAGATCATTGTCGATAAACTGACAACCAAGACTATAAAGGACAAATCAATGAAGATCAACACGACACCATCGGAAGACACCAACATGGCACTAGTGAGCACCCATCCACACACAATTTTCATTCGTCCCCTCAGCCCACAAAATCGCTACCACCACCATGATCATTACTATGGGACTTAGAGCTTCGTCTCTAGGTCTTGTAGTCCGACGACCAATAAAGGGGTCGTGCGAGACTCCGGCCCTAAAAGAGAAAAGAGGCGTTGAGAATAAAACCCTAGAGAGAATATCAACACTAGAAAGAAACTTTTGAACGGGCCGGGCAAAACAAATTAATCTTTAATACGAGTTAGAACTTAGAGCATGTTCCATGTAGTGCTAAATTACAGACTATAATATAATATTTTAGACACAAAAACTCTTTTTTGATATAATGATTTTTTTAGGCTAAATTTATATTTAAGTTCCTAAAATGGCATATAAGAATAAATTGTTGACTTTAGCTATTAGTTTTAAAATATCCTCTTCTTCTTCTTCTTTTTTAATAAAGAGAGAAGGATTTGAACTCTTAGACTTGAAAGTGAATGTGACAAACTCCATGTTTGATAGGGATAGAAAGTGAAGGAAAGGAAGAAGGGGGAAAGATTTTGAAGGAGAACCTAGAAAAAGACGAAAAGAAAAGTTGTTTGGTAAGAAAGCAAAGAAGAAGAAAAAGGAAACTAATACTAGTGGAACTCAACATAATCTCTCCTCGAATGAGAGATTTTAGGGGAGAAATTATCACACTTTCCTCTGAAAAATTATAACTTAGATATAAATACTTTTTTAATCTCATTTTCAAATAAATATTGTAAATAAGTAGGTAGGTAAAATAGTAGCTTCAACTTATCATTTAAAGTGACATTAGCGCGATCAGCACAAAAAAAAAAAAAAAAAAAAAAAAAAAAAAAAATAGAGTATAAAAAAAAAAAAAAAAGAAGAGCAAAAAAAAAAAAAAAAAAAAAAAAAAAAGACATTAGCGTATTAGAGAACAAAATGAATAATTGAGCCAAATTAAGCCTTCTGTTAATTTATTGTGCTAAATTTGGCATTGGTATTGGCACTTTACGTCTTGAGGATAGCCTCAGAACCCATAAAGAATTGGAATATGAATTTGAGGTTTCATCCCTTTTACTCTTTAACCAGGAATTTACAAATTCGACATTTAGAATAAAACTAAAAACAATACCATAATGTGAGATAAGAGATTGAGTTTTATAATTATCATTTATTAGTCCAGAAAAAGACGTTAAAGTTGTCCATAAAATAACAAAAGAAAGTTCCAAAGAAAAGAGAAGAACTTGACTTGGCATCACCTCTCATCAGAGCCGGTTTTCATCTCGTCGAAGCTTTTGCACTCATGGAGGAATGGTAAGTGGTGCTTCTCTGTTTCCTGTAAGAAGTATACACATCGTCGTATTGACTTATCTCGTTAGGATTAGCTGTGGCACCAAGTCCCAACCTTCCGGTGCTATTAAATCCGGGTTTACGCTCTACACTTCCATCAGCATAAGTCCCAGTATCGGGGTCTGCCTGCAGGTTTGGAGGCGGTGGAATACAAGCCCCTCCCTTCCGCACAGGAGGTTCTCTTTCATACTCTCTATCGTACTCATCATTGTCTCCGCCATCAGATTTAAAGGGCCCTTCAGAAGGGTTCACCTCTCCAATCTCTTTAAAGAACTTGGACACTCTTTCAAGAATTTCGGATTGAGATACAGTGGATGGAGGTATGACAGTTGGGATGTCCAACGGGCTCATGGGAGAGTAAGGTACGCCACTGCCAATCTGCATCTTTCTGACCATTCCAGGAATGAGACCAGGAGGGAACAATGGATACGGTGGCACTTTTTCACTGTTATTAGCAGTTTGGCCTGGCAATAAATGGGGTGCAGACGGTGGACCCACTGGTTGAACAGAAGCTGGTATGGGCATGGAGCCGGCAAAAACCGGAGGCTGCATATTTTGACCAGGCACCGCATGTTTATCAAGATGCTCTTGATCTCCGAAACTGGGAACAGAACTTAGCCTGTCAGGCTGCCATTGCGCCAAGTTATGGTTCGTCTGCTGTGTTAATCCTGTTTAAGAAGCACAAAACAATTTAGCATTGTGATGTCTGGTAGATAAGATCTCCAAAAATTTGACCAAAGGCATGACCAACACATAATGTCATAGAAGAAAACCAATACAAAATGCAGAACAGAGAGGCAATTATAGGTCTTGTACACAAAATACCCATGACATGGTAAGCACAATGCCTAATTCCACACAAACACTTGCAAAAGAAAATTAATAATTTAGTAGCCTACCTGCAGCTGAATCTGCTGATAAACCGGTCAATTCCTTTGGCGGCCCTGCAAAAGAATTAGCTGACTGTCCACCAATCATTTCATTTCTAAGCGCATTGATAGTATCCTGATCATAAATGTTATTGGATGCCCATAACTGTAAAAGTTGTTGTAACTTTGACTGATTTTCTTCCTTAATTTGAGGGTTATGGAAAATCCTAGCAAGCATAGAACCTAAGACGGGTTTGAATGCAAGGGCCTCATTATCAAGATCATCGCCAGTTCTTCGGTGCACACTGTAAATTTAGAAGTGAATAAGATAAGAAATTTTAGGAAAACCAAATCACACAAGCGACGAGATTAGGAAAACAAATGATCTTCCATGATAACACATAAGATATAGAAGCAAAAGTATGGAAGAGAGAGAGAGATTAGACACACACACACAAACACACACAAAAGGTTTTTGTCTATTTCTTAGGTGAAGATCATCAAATAACCTACATATTATCAGTTATAGATAAAGGTTGCTTTTGACATATTTACGTTGTGTCTATATATCTGTCATAGCTTCTAAACTCTTGTCATATCCATACTGCAGATTTTTCAGACAACATATTAATTACTTCTGTTTCTTCCAACCAACAGGCATACAAACAACCTAACATGCTCACTTAAAAAGCATTGGAGCATCTCAAGCCCTGTCTTCCATTATCATTCAAATTTCTCAGTACAAGAGCAAACATGTCTCGCAGAAAGCTACAGATAGACAGCTACATTTTTCAATAAGGCACATTTCGGTATTCCAGTGCCGTTAGGTTGGAACATACAAGGAATGGCGTTCTGTAAGTATGTAACATGCATACAAGAGAATAGAGGATTAAAAAGATAAAACAAGATAACAGACGCTTATGCCCTAGAGTGATTGCACATTCCAAGCCCAAAACTGTAACGCTAAAAAATTTCAAAACATTCCATTTACTTATAAGAATGCTGCTGCGGTCTTTTTTCATTCGTTTAATTCTAATTACAACAGTCCGGTGAGAGTCATTGCAACTAACCAGAAAAGTACTTTCCTATGCAACTCAAAAAAGAGACTTCTAATAATGATCCTGCCAATTTCTCTTGAAGACTAGAAGATAAGGGATAGAGATGGAATGGAGGATGAAATAATTGGGCTTCGGAATGAATAACCAAAAAGACGCAAACCATTCTTGTTCTAGTCTTCTAGAATGTAGAAACTAAGGCCAGCTTTATTTTTGTTGGAGTAGGTATCTACATTGTTAAAGTTCAAACTATCTCTTCTTAAATCAACTAACAAGAGTATTAATATCTTCGTAAAAAGCACAACATTTTCAAGAATTCTGATCACCATGATTCAAGAATAAGAATTAATACATTGCATCACACTAACAATTCCACAATATGAATCCAAAGAACCAACAGAACTGGCAAAAAGAATTAAGTGTTTATACAGTACTAGAAACTAGAAAGTTTCGAGGATTACCTCTCGAAAAGAATGTCATTGGCGAGGTATATAATGTGCAATTGCCTCTCTGAATCGTCGACCGCAAACACCCGGTCTCTGAGCGCCTCGGCCAAAGCCGGAGCGAAAACCGACCTCTGCATGAACCAAAACTTCGCCCCTTTGATGGACTCCTTGGTGCCATTGAGACTGATCAGCACATTGTTTAGCTCCATTGCAACATCGGAAGGAAGCGGCCCCGAAAGCCCCTTGAAGGGCTTCGAAGCCTGATCGAAATCCGGTCGACTGTAGAACTGAGGATGCTGCTGCTCGTAGAAATACGGCGGCTGATGCATCTGCGGTCCGCTGGTCATCATAGGCGGTCCGTTGATCATCGGATTCAACGGGGAACGCATCAGGTGCATCGAAGACGACGGAGGCGGAGGAAACGGCGAATTGAACGAGCCTCCTGGCGGTCTGGTGGATAGCCAGAGCTTGTATCTGTAATATCCATGGCCTTCCCCGCCGAAGAGAAAGCTGTACTCGGGATTATCCTGCTGCTTTTCTCGGATCATGGCCTCGAATTCGGGCCCGTTCTTGGCGGCGTACTCGACCAATTTATCAATGCGCTTGTGGAGCTCGGGGTCAGCGGGAGGGGCCACCGGGGGCGGGGCCCCAGCGGCGGCGGGGTCGAAAGAGTTATGGAAAGGCGAAGGGACGAGCGGGGGCGGCATGTGGGGAGGGTAATTCGGCGGCGGCTGCTGGTGGTGATGGAGGAGGTGAGGGTGAGGAGGCGGCGGCGCGTGGGGGTTAACTTGCTGCTGTAGGTGGTGGTGATGGTAGGGGAATTGCGGAGGCGGAGGCATAGAAGGGTGCGGCGGCGGAAGGAAAGGAGGAGCGGCGGCTGCGGCGGCGGACGGGCCATGGAACGGTTGCTGCGGCGGCGGAGGGTATCCGAACGATTGCTGTTGCTGCTGTTGTTGGGCGTAAGCCATGGCGGACGCCGCCGCGTAATCGTGTGGTTGCCGATCCATCGCCGGCGTCTACTTTGACGATTTTATCTGCATAAATATATATACACACACACACACACACACACATATAATAGGGTTTTCGGACATTAAAGCGATGTAATTTGTATTGAAGAAGTGTGTGACGTTAATGCGGAAAAAAAAAATACCTTTGGTGCTCTTGTGGATGAAATTACTAGTAGAAGTACTCTCTGGGTCTGTGTTTCTTTCTTTCTCTCTCTTTCAACGGAGCTCCGTGTCCATATTCTCGGGGCCTGGAGCTTACTAACACTGAAAATTACACAGAAAACTAGAAAAGCGAGGTTCTTTCGAAGAGAAGGAAATGGGGAGAAATGGCGAGAATGGATTTTGGGAATTTTGTTTTTGTTCGTTTTTTTTTTTTTTTTTTTTTTTTTTTTTTTTTTCCTTTGACAAGGTTTTTGTTTTCTTGATGGTTTTTTTCCCCTCCTAGAAAAAAGGTTCGAATTTATTTTTAAAGCTAATAGATACTTAAAATTTTTTAATACAAATTAGTAAGAATAATCATGATATCATTTATAAAAATTTGAGCTGCGGGGGGTTTTTTTAAACTTTTTTTAGCAAACATGAAAAGTGTACAAATTAAGGGTCTGTTTAATTCACTGATTTGAGTTTTTAATTTGAGTTTAAATGTGATTTTATGTGAGAATTTTTACTGTAGCATAAAAATTAGATGTGACTGTTTCTGATAGCTTTTTATTGTAACAAAACTTGAATTCTAAACTCAGATTAATGAAATGAACGAGGCTTAAATTTTTTTTAAAGAAATATAAAAAATAATCATTATATTGTGCCTAAATATCATTTTTTACCTTTTTTATTATTCAAATGTCTAAAACACCCACTGTTTTTAAAAATTAAGCTCAAAATATACAATTAAATTTTAAAAAATACGAAGATTACTATTCTTAATCTATATTAAATGTTGTTTATAGATGATTTAATTAAAAATTTAAATAAAAAGATAAAAATATTTCAATATTTCAATTAAACAAATACTTTAATTATTTTGAGAGTTTTTCATTTTTAAGATTGATTTTTAATGGTGTTTTAAATTGTATTTCTAATGGTTATGAAGGGTAATATTAGTATTTTGAAAAAAATTAAATGTTTTAGGGGGTATGTTGATTTTTTTTATTAGGGAGCTTCTCTCGTACGCCAATAAAATGTACAATCACATAAAAGTAAAAAAATATGCATATTTTATAGTTAGAAAAACCTGACCTATCAGTAGGTTAATCATACCAGAAAATCTCCCTTTTTATAAACACATGTTGTGTTTTTTTTAGGCATTTCTATAGCAAAAGGAGCAAAAATAAGGGGAAACCCAGAAATAACACTCAAGATAGTAAAAGAAAAATTATTTATGTTACTCCCACTAAAAATAGACAATTGTTACTTAATCTATAATCCATACCATATATAGAAATAACAATGATTTTATGTAGCTTCTCTCACAATGAATTGCTCAAGGTCATGGTTAAAGTTATCCCCTTTTTTTTTTTTTTTTGCCCTTTTGTTTTATGAAATTTCTTTAGTAAAACAGTTTTATTTGTATTGTCAATTTTTGACTGTTTAATCAGGTAAAAATCACATCAAATATTGAAACAACTTTTTTGAATTTTGGTCATGTTTACGTTTTTTTCTTACAATTTTCTATTTTTTTCAAAATTAGCCGTTGTAAAATACTTATTTTACTTAAATGTGTTTTTATTGTTGCCCTCTCAAATATTGTTTTATCTTATGGAATACTTGATTAGTTTTTTATTTGACTTGTCTTCATCAAAATCTATGTGTGCTTAAATATGGTATGTTTATTTAATTTTATGCTTATATGGTATTCAAGAGAAACATAGAGCTGTGTTTGGAATTGATCCCGTCTTTATTTTTCACGTTTTTTGAGAAAAAAATAAAAATATTTTTAAAACGACGTTTGGCGCAATAAAGACAAAAAATAAAAATGAAATCGATTTTTTAGTTTAGTGAAAATAAGAGAGAAATTAAAAATGACTTTTAGTCATTTTTCATTTTCTCATTTTTCGAGTAGAGAGATAAATACATTAATGGGTTTTTTTATATTAAAAATAATCTCTTAATAAAATTACCAAGCGCATTTTTAAAAATAATTTAAGTCTGAGATTAAAAACGTTTTCATTTTCATATAAAAAATAAAATTAATTTGAAATGAGTTTCAAAGCGCACGTTTTGATGCATTTATGTTTGTAAAATCGAATACTTTTAAAAGTGAACAAACTAAATACACACGTGCGAATCATGAATAGCTCTGCACAAAATCATTACTAGCTATGTATTTCTCTCTAAAACTAATATTTAAGTAGAACATATGGTGTGTTTTGGTATCATCGCAATTTTTAATGAAACTACCCATAATTTAAGATATTTTATCTTTTTACAAACTTAGAAAAGTAATTTATGAACACTATTTTCATTATCTTCTTTTTGTGTGACTGTCATGCCAAGTTTAGGTAATTACATTAGTTATTACATGTAAGCGATAGAAAAAGGTAATCAAAATAAATATTTTTGCAAAATATTTTTATAGTACTATAAATTAACCAAATATTTTTTGCTTTGAGAATTAACTATTTTTTATTGTTTTTTTTTTTTTTGGGATTTTTAAGTAATTGAGATTGACATTAGAGCCTCTTTGCTTTGAGAATTAGGGTTTTAATAGTCCACATGGTCTTACCTAATAATTTTTGTTTTTGTTTGTATGATATAATCTACTGATATGATTCTTCATAATTATCTGAATTAATTATGTAGAGTTTGTTAACATCTAACCTTATGTCTATAACATTCCATAGAATTAGAAGTGTAGATAAATGTTTATTAGCATCTAATGGCTAAAATAATTTGGACGTTTCCATCACTTAATTTCTAAAAAGTAACAAACATATATTCTCTTTTAAATTTGAATGGGCGAATTAAACTCGTAATCTTAAGCTAGAGTTAAATATAAAATTATCGCTAACAGTACTAAACTTAATTAAAGGAGGTCATAATGTAAATAATGGAGTTTTTGTAAAAGTTTTTAAAATTTGAGATGAAATTGTAATTTTTAAAACTCAAACGGGGCTTTAAGTTATTATAATTTATAACTTGTAGGCATAACCTAATGATAATATCATATGTGATTTTCTTACAAGTTGTCAATTTCAAATCCTCCCATTCGGTCTGATTTTTCCGAATTTTTTTAAAAAAAAAAACCCTCCCCCAATAAATAAGTAATAATTGATAAATAACAATTTTTAAAATAAAAATATATACTATTTTTTTAGACTTTCTCAGTTGAATGTCAACGTATCAATAGATTAGGTTTTCTATTTATCAGTATATTAATATATTAATATATTAAGTTTTATGTCTATTAAATATGTATAAAATTATGTAAAAATTAAAAAATACACGTATCTAACTATTAAAAAAATTTAGTCAATAGCCTCCCTTTTTTTGAACAGAGTAAATAAATAAAAAGTTATATTTTTTTTATAAGGAAAAAAAAAAAAATCTCTTACCTCATGTTCCATCTGTTTAGCCAAAACCCTCCTCTCAGAGCAAAAACCCTTAACCAGTAACCATACATATAAAAAACACATACATATTACACATATATATCTGAAGAAGCCGAAGCCAATGAAACTGTAAATCCGCCATGATTAAACTCCAGAGAGGCTTCTTTTCGGCCACGAATACCACCACTGTTTCTTCCTCTTCTTCTTCGGCTCTGCAAGTCCGCTCCTTCACGGCTAAGGTTCCTAATCTTCCTCTCATTTCCATTCTTTCCTTCCTCTGTTTTCTCGTTTCGTTTCAGAAGTTTCTTTTTTCAATTTCGTGCCTTTGTTTATTTCGTATTTGTCCTATTAATGGCGGGGATTGGTAAGAAAACCAGAGAAAAAAGTTTCGTTTTTCTTTTGGCCGAAAAATGGGTTCTTAATTTATTTGTAATGGTTTCCTTGTTGTAATGTTCATCTCGGCTAGGTTAATTGTTATAAAGTACTTTTTTTTAGATGTTGAATGAAATTGGAGTTTCAATTTGTGAAATTTGAAGTATTTTGATTTTCAATTTATTGTTGAAAATTTGCTACTTTTATCTTAATATGTTTATTGTTAGCTGCATTATTCTTCCTCTAATTAGTATTTTATCTAAAAATCCATGTCTTTAGGTCACTGTTAATGAAGAGTGAGAAATTCAAGCTGAGTCTCATTTTTATTTTATTTTTATTTTTTTTTGTTTTTTGTTTTTTGTTTTTTGTTTTTTGTTTTTTTTCAATTGTAGAATATAGGAATAGTTTAGATAATCTCAAAAGTTCCATGCAGTGGAACCCTACCAAACATTGGTTTAGTTACGTTGACCTTTGTTTCTTCAGAAACAAACCAAACAAAAAACAATGACAATGTGCTCTTAAAACCTGTTGTTTTATGTTTCAGAGTGAAATTTTCCGGTGCTGTTTGTGCCTTTAATTGTAATTGTTTTTCATGGTTTAATGTTCAACGCTAGCTATGTTGTTCTGAAGCAAAATTTTTAACGACGTTGGATAATTTGGTGTTTCAGCTGCAGTTAAGGGCACTTCATAACTATACAGGAACTTGCCTGCCATGTTCATCTTTTGGGGCTAGTAACAAATGTAGAAAATCTGCTCTAATTAGGTTTAAAAACAAAAGCTTTCCTTGCACATTGAGGACCGAACACACAAAGGTCGGTAAAGAATTTTATCCTCTTAGGAGTTTTAGTGATGGACCTCAGTCAAATTTAAGACCTGGGTTCGGGAATACTTTTGGACCTGTGAATAATTTTAGTTATGTATCCTTTAATGAGGGTGTGAGTTCAAGTTTACCTTCTTATGGAGCTTTTACCAAGAGGTTTTTCTCCCAAAAGAAACTTGAGAATAGAGGTGCACAAGATGGCGAAAGTGGTGGAAGTGCCTCTGCATTACGGATGATTAGTAAGCGCCGGAAGCAAGCGAAGGCATTGGCTGCTAATGGTAAAACCGGAGCGACCGGTTCTAGCAGCTCTAAAGAGATAAGTTTGGATGCTTTAAGTGAACCATTAGTTGGTGGTGGGAAGGACAGCAAAATCCTAGAATCATCTGTTCCAACTTCACCCGTTGGTAATAATGAGGTTCCAAAAGCCAGTCGAAAGAAGAAGCTGAGAAGCAAGAAAAGTACGAAGCAAGATGTTGCTGATAGTTCACTACTAAAAGATGATGCAGCAAAAGGAGCGAGAGGTACTTCTCGAGCAAAGAAGTCAAGTATTGGGAAGAGTAAGCAGGAACCGTTACAGGCTCCAAAGGTATGAAGCAACTAATTACTAAAAATTAATTGTGGTCTTTTTTCTCAATCTTGTAATTCAACTAACACTGCAGTTTCTCAGTTGAACTTAAATGGGAGTAGATCTGCCGAAATAGCTGATAGTTCTTCTTCTTCAACAAAACCCCTGTCCAGTAAGAAAAGTGGAAAGTCAAGCAGCAAGGAGAAACCTGGGAAAGCAGCTGAGAAATCGTCACAGAAACATAAAGCACAACAGGTGGGACAAGTAAAATGCCCAGGGAAAATGAGCCTAAAGCCATTGTACCCCCCAATTGGAAAATCTGTTGTAGTGGTGGAATCTGTTACAAAAGCAAAGGTCATTCAGGGATATCTCGGTGATATGTATGAAGTGCTTCCGAGCTATGGTCATGTAAGGGACTTGGCTCGTAAGTCGGGATCCGTTCGGCCTGAGGAAGACTTTAGCATGGTGTGGGAAGTACCTTCTGCATCCTGGTCTCATCTTAAGAGCATAAAGGTTGCACTTAGTGGGTATGATTCCCTTTTTCAATTATGGTCAAGCAATCTAGACTCGAGAGGCTAGATAATGGTTGTTATGCATCATTTGCAGCACAATAAGATCATTGATATACGGTTATACCAATATGTTTAACCATTAGCTGTGGATACTTTGATTTTGCTATTCTCATTGTTATTCAGCAGAATGATTATGTACTCTTTTAGTTAGTTCTGTTTATTTTCTTTTCTCTCTTCATTTTGGAAAAGTTTTGTTCAAATGTTTCTGAATTTTTCTCTTTCTTGTACCTTTCTCATCAGAGCAGAAAATCTTATTCTCGCATCAGATCCTGACCGTGAAGGGGAGGCTATAGCTTGGCATATCATTGAAATGTTGCATCAGCAGGATAGCTTACAGAAAAATACTACAGTGGCAAGGGTTGTTTTTCATGAAATAACAGAGTCATCCATAAAAAGAGCTTTAGAGACTCCAAGAGAACTTGATGAAAACTTGGTTCATGCCTACCTTGCACGGCGTGCTCTTGATTACTTGATTGGTTTTAATATTTCGCCATTACTATGGAGGAAATTACCTGGTTGTCAGTCTGCTGGGCGAGTCCAATCTGCAGCATTGGCTCTCATATGTGATAGAGAAATTGAAACCGATCAATTTGAACCGCAGGAGTATTGGAGTATCGATGTTGAATTCCACAAGGAGGACCTGGGTTCAGTAAACTATGCTTTCCAGGCACACTTGACGCATTATGATTTCAACAGGTTGAATCAACTCGCTATTAGTTCTCATGCATATGCAAAAGAAATTGAAAATCAGGTTACTTCAGCAAATTTTAAGGTGGTCAAATCTAAAATGAATAAAATGCGGAAAAATCCTCCATCACCATACATAACATCGACACTACAGCAAGATGCTTCAAACAAATTACATTTCTCCTCGACATATACAATGAAGGTTTGTGGTGCTTTATGTTATTAATTAACTTATAATTGTTATGCTGCAACTGCTTTGTATTTCTTACTGCTATTGCTACGCATTTCTTATTGAGCTTTACATTGAAGGGTTGTTTATTTGTATTTTTTCCTTTTGGGTGCACTAAGCTTGTGAATTGAAGCTTTAAGTTGATTGTCGTGGTACTATTTTAAAACATTTAGTGTACACCTTTTTGCTGATAGAAATTACGATACATGAATGCAGCTTGCCCAAAAACTTTACGAAGGAATTCAATTGTCCGATGGCAAAGCAGCAGGTTTGATAACGTATATGAGGACAGATGGATGTCATGTAGGTATCCCTTTTGGCTACAGGAATGTATTCCCTGCATTGTATGAGGGCTTGATTTACTTTCTTGTAGTCATGATAGATTTGGTTGCTTTTCTTATTTGTGTTGGTGAGAATGATCCTTATCGTTCTAATGTCTTTCCTAACCTTGTTTTAGATTTCTGATGAAGCTGTTAAGGACATACGCTCATTGGTAACAGAAAGGTGACAACACTTTTTCCCTTTATTGTTTTTAGTCACAGTATAATTCATAATTTAACAAAACGCTCCAAAACAGACTTCTGCAATTTACACCTAATTCAGCTTTTTAGTGCAATAGATTGAGTCTTTTCTGTATGTAAAAAGTAGGAAGCATCTGTGGAAGGATGGAGCGACTCTTTTTTTTTTTTTTTGTTTAAATAGTTAAGTATAGAGATAAAGTTCCTTTCTGCAGGTACGGACAAAATTTTGCATCAGCAAGTCCTCAAAAATATTTTAAGAAGGTGAAGAATGCTCAAGAGGCCCATGAAGCAATTCGACCAACAGATATTTCGAGACTGCCATGTAAATATACATTTTTTTTTTCCTAATTATGTATAGATACAATTATTTGTTGTACATGACACTTTATTTGTTGTTTTGTTTCTTCTTTGTTTTCTTTTCCACCTTTCTCATCATCCGTTTTGTTTTTAGTTTAAGATTCAACTTGATTTATATCCACCTGATCTTTTGCTAGATTCTTTGCATGACATTAATTTGAAATGTTATTTGACGGCATGCAGCTATGCTTAGGGGAATACTTGACGAAGATTCCTTGAAGTTGTATACTTTTATCTGGTGCCGCACAGTGGCATGTCAAATGGAACCTGCTACCTTTAAGCAGGTTGGGATCTTATTTTTCTTGACTATTATTAGAACTTTAAACCTAACTTCTGGCCATTCGATTTTGAGTGCGACTGAAGCTGCAGCACACATTCTTATCCGTGTCATAGAAAACTGCATTAATTCTTGTGCTCTTAACACTTTCTTTTCGTGTTGACTCTTGTTAAGCTGTTGTGTGTAAAAGTTCAATACTCTGTAGGCTGATTTAGTCTATTTTGAATTCACCCAGACACAAGTTGAAATTGGAAATGCTACTGAGTCCATTATTTTCCGTTCCACATGCTCAGTGGTTGAGTTCCTCGGATATCAAGCAGTTTTCAAGGTATCAGTGGTTTTCTACTCTTTTCTTGTTGTCTGCAAACACATGTTTCTGATGTTTAATTTTTATGTGGTATCTCGATGTGGTATTAAGTAGTTCCTCAATGTATTAAATCTTTAGGATGTGGAAGCTGAAGCAATCCAACATCAAGAAAATGAAGGAAATGATCGTGATGAAACTTTTAGAATTCTTGATTCACTGAAGGTAACGTGAAGCAAATTCAGATTTCTTTTTCTTTCTTTCTTTCTTTCTTTTTAGCTTTTGCTTTCTTTTCTTTCCCCTGTAAGTTTATAAGTCTGTCCACTTGCTTCTGCCTACCGGTGCACTTTCCCCTTTACCTTTAGAAAAGATAATAAAATTCAAGCTAACAAATCATGAGATCTTTTAATGTTATCCAGGAAAATGTATATGCGTGGGTATTGAGGAAAATGTCAGACTTCGATTATTTAAATTGAAAAACAGTTTCCATTTGCATTATTTTGAATTGGGAATCTTGCATAAATTTGCTGTGAATATAATTTTATAAACTTCTTTGTTTTGTAGACTGGAGATTCATTATATGTTCGTGAAGTGGAACTTGAGCAGCATCATACCCAGCCTCCTCCACGCTACTCTGAGGGGGCGCTGGTAAGCATTTACAGCTTCTTTTCATACAGTTGACATCAGACAATTAGCTGTCAGTATTAAGATTCCATTTTCTATATTTATATCTCCTTCTAAAGCATAAAATTTGTCAGCACAGTTAGAATCCTTTTGTTAAATGCTTATTCAGTTTTGCAGATTAGTTGCATTGCAGTTTCCGTTTTCTTTCTTTTGGCTTTGTTTTTCCCGTGTAGAAGTGGTATTCCTTTTCGTTTTCTTATACTTGTGTGTGTGTGTATATATATATATATTAACTTAATTGATTTTGTTCTTGAATTTTGCTCCCTGTAAACATGACCTACTTGTCACCTTGAAAAGCCTGATATTTTTCCTGGCTATATCTGATTCTAATACCAAATCTTTTTTAAACTAGGATTTTGTAGAAATATATCCACAAAATAGGAAGCTTTATCTAAATAAAGGAAGGAAATCCATTTCATTTCACTATGTTGACTTCAACAAACTTCTCTTGTTGGACTCTCCAGGTCAAGAAAATGGAGGAGCTTGGTATAGGAAGACCTTCAACATATGCATCCACGTTAAAAGTTTTACAGGTAATGATGGGTTTCAAATGTTCGAATTTCATCTCTCTCTCTCTCTCTCTGAAATGTATAAAGTTTTTTCTCACATAGATATGAGTAACAAGGTAAACTAATAATACGGTAATATTATCCGCTTATGAGTTAATTCAAGAGTTATTCTGTTCTTTCTTAGGCTGCGAGTGGATTAAGCTCTTAATGACAGAACTTGGTTTAGTAGCCAGGCCTTTAGGTTGTCTAATTAGGAGGCCAAGCTCAATCTAAAGTGAAGTTTATTTTTTCCCCAACATGCTTAAGTAACTCCACGCTTGGCTTAGTTGGACGTGCGATTGGTGCTGATAACAGATGCTTATTGCCAGAGTGCAATGATGTTTGTAGAATTTTGACTTATGGATGTTTTTACTGTGCCAGGATAGAAACTATGTTACCATGAAAAAGCGTGTACTACATCCAGAATTCCGTGGTCGAATGGTAGGTCTCGTGATTTTATTTTATTTTCCAATCTACCCATCGACCAATTATCTTTTGAGGAGTAAAATCCATAACTTTGTACACACGCACACATACACACACTGTTATTATGATATATTATTGAACAACTAGTTCTCATAATACATAGGCAAAATTCGACAATAAGATATTTGACAAAAGTAGGTTTCTTAATATACTAAAAGTTGACCATAACATATTTCCTCTGTGATACAAATTAAAGTTGTCTTTTTTCAGGGATGAGATATCTCCTAGTCCTACTTTATTAGTTAAGCTTTCTGTTCACTGTTAATTAACATCATTGGTCAACAGGCTTTCTTTCAACTGCTTGCCAATAAATAAGTTTGCAGTTTGATGCCTAGTCTCTATTATCTATCTATCTATCTATCTATCTATTTATTTATTTATTTTCATGTGCTTTTTTATAGGTGTCAGCCTTTCTCAATCACCATTTCTCCGAGGTTACAGACTATAGTTTTACAGCTGATATGGAGACTGAGGTACTTATATATTTATATTGGGGCCTAATATTTCAGTAATTTCCTTGAAATTTCAGTTGTTTGACTGCTTTTAGCTTCAATACATATTTCTGCACAAACCTTACCAAGCAATATTGTCATTTCTTATTAGTGTTATTGTAATGATAATACTGTCATTAGTACAGAAGATATCGTTGTTTATCAAGAAAACAAAATGATGCTGAGGTACATTTGCTAAGATTCTATATGTTCTTGATTGATTAAATGCATGATATTCGTACGATAGACATATTTCTTTGATCAATATTTCATCATAAGATAGACATATAGACATATTTCTTTGATCAACATTTCATCATAAGATAAGACATATTTCCTTGATCAGCATTTCTTCTGCAATTCATTTTTCCTTTCTCGCTGTTCCAGCTTGATAATGTTTCTGCTGGTTTAACTGAATGGAAAGGCCTCCTGAGAGACTACTGGACCCGATTCAGCTCTTACTGTGAAAAGACAAGTAATGTTCATATCCATCAGGTAAATATAGATATTAGAATAAGCTTCAAGTAGAATTCTTGATTTTCCTTGGAATTTCCTGTATTATAATCAGTTTGATTTTTCAGGTGGAAAAGTTGTTGGAGAAAAAGTTTGAGGATTTCTTGTTTGCTTCTGTTCCGGACAGGACATGTCCAAGGTATGCATGTGCTGTCATTTCTATTTTAAAGAACACCGCTTCCATTGTTAGCCCGTGACATTTGTTTCTGTTGAAGTGTTCCAGGGTCTCGAATTCCTATTTGTGCATTTTGTGTTTTTAATCTAAACTTTGTTTCATGCTTGATCTGTGGTTCTGTACCTAACACATAACAACCACTATTAAGTGATGACACATCCTTCACAATGTTCCCATGCTCACTGTGCATACCAACATCTCATATTGTTTTTCATAGCACATTCTTTGCTTTCTTGTATTTCTTGTAATAATTTTTAAATTGGAGTGATGGAATGTTTATGGAGTGCGGGGGGTCATGAAATGAATACGCATTATATTTATGTGCTTCTAAAAATATGAATCTTGATTTATTATTATTATTATTATTTTTTCCGCGTGTGTGTTTGTGTGTGGTGCAATAGCGAAGTTCTATGGAAGATGAGTTGCTAGGAAATTCCTCTTGCTCTTCATATTATGGTTTTTAAATGCTTTGGTTCTAATCAAGCTTTTGCATCAATTCTGTCACGCCTGCTTTGTCCTTGTATACAGTACGCTGCCTGAACAAGGTATTTTTGTTTTTTTGCACCTCCTTTTGGTCTCTTACATGGCTTTGCATTTGCTTACTTTCTCAGTTGCTTCAATGGCACATTGGTTTTCAAAGTCAGTAGGTTTGGTGCTGGTTACTTTATTGGTTGTGATCAACACCCAAAATGCAAGTAAGTACGAAGCGTTTAATACCTGATTCTTCTCCTGTACCAATCTGATATTTTGTTGGTGTTTTTATCCTTGTGTTTGGCAAGGGTTTTGTGGAAAAACATCCTTTCCCATTTTGAGCTTGTGACTCATTTCTAGACATGTATATTGCTTCTGTTGCCTGAGCAGGCAGGTATTGGAATGAAACTTTAGGGTGTATGTGATGCGCAAGATTGGATAGTTTTAAATATTGTATTAGAGCTAATGCAGATGATTCCGTAATTTGTATATCTTGTTTTTTTAATCCCTTTCGTAGAAGCCTTTTTCCTTTTTTTTTTCCCCCAATAAAGTTCATTTCTATTTGTTAACTCAATTTTTTATTGCGGTCGTGGGGTTGTCTTTGAACCTATGCTATTGGTAATATCATGTTTAATTGTTACTTCAGTTTTATTCCTACAGCGATAATTTTTGGTCTAAATGTTTCTCATTTGTTTGCTCGGAGTAGGTATATAGCTAAGACATTATATGGTGATGAAGAAGAAGTAGAAACTCCTCAAACTCAAAATGTTGTAGAGGAGCCAAAGTTGCTAGGACATAATCCAGTTTCCAATGAAAAGGTATAATTTCTATCTTTATAATAGCCATTAAAGGGGGTTTTTCTATTTTACATTGTGCATATTGTTGGGCAAAAAAATAATAATATTTCATGCACAACATAATTTCACCTATACTAGGATTTGATTAGTATAGGAGTTTATTATTTTTAGTTTGACCTATTCAAGATTATAAGAATAACCTCTTAATTACAGTCCCTTGGTACAAGGGAAGACCTTTTGATTCCAATTATGATAATGTGGGTTTAACCGAGTTGCCTACATACCCCATTGAGGGATCAAGCCACTTGTAGTTCTTAGAGATTTTGTATTTGGGAAATTTCAAGGTGTATGACCATGTATGGAATTTTAATAAGATTTCCAGGTTTATGACCTATGTTGGAAATTAAGGACTTGAGGTAAATGACCCCCTTTAAGAATTTGTAGATGAAAGAATTGGTTTTGTGAAATTTGAAAATTCCTAAGGTGAATGACCTATTAGGAATTGAGATTTGTGACTGCACCAAACTCTTCGTCAAAGTTGCCTACATATCCTTTTAAAAGGAATCAAGTCAAACGTAGTTCGAATTTTTGAGATTTGGGATTTTTATGATTTTTTTTTGTGTGGCTATTTTTGAGATAAATGATCTCTTTGAAAAGTTTGGGGAAAATTTTCCATTTGAGTTGGTTTTGATGATTTTGAGGTGAATGACCCCGTTTTGGACTTTTGAGAATTTGCTTCTCATTTTATTTTTTTGAACTTTGAACCACACCTAATTTGATAGGTTGCCTACGTATCCTTTGCGGAATTAGGCCAACGTAGTTCATTCTTAGTAATTTTAGAGTTTGTTTTGAATTGAAACTCTTATATCTCTCTTTGAATGATTTTGGAGATAATTTGATTCACTATATAATATATACATATATATATATTTTGTGAAATGGGATTTACAGTATGTTGATAACATTTTGTATTGCATCTGTTGCAATTATCAACGTTCCATCATTGATGGATGAACTGCCCTCTTCTTTAATTTGAGCAACTCAATTAATTAACCATCTTGGCTTCTCTGCATGCTTTGGGACGAGGCTTCATGCCTTCTGTGATAATTGATTGGCCTTCAGTTATACCATACGTTGTTAAACAAACAACAATGAAGCCTTCCCCTTTATTTGGGCTTACGTCATTGGTAAAGAAGGCCGGAGCCTCTATTCTTCTCTTGTTGGGCTTGTAATCAATGTCAGAGGCCCATTTAGATATAGCCTTAGGAAAATCAAGTTCCACGTTACACTCTTCGGAAGTTGAAGTCCATTAGTGCTGTATGGTTCTTGTGCAGTAATTCTTGCATGGCTCTCCTTTATGAATGAGCATGAGAGTACATAAGGGAGTGACTATTTCTTTCTTCAGGATTTGGGAGGTCTTCATTGATTACGAGCTGAAAGTAGTTAAAATTGCATGCATGGCCGATTGTGGATTTGAAAATTATATTTAATCACTATATAATTTTATGAGACAATGGCTCATCTTTTGATTTAAGGAACCATAGAGGGGCCTAATTTGTGTACTTTAAATTTTAGGGTATTTAATATTCCGAATTTCTTTAAAATTTATTATCTTTCTCCTTTTTTTTTGAATTTTAAAATTTAAAATCAAATCCACCATTTAGATTGGATTTGTTATGATTTGATTTATTTTGAGTGATCTTCTAATCTCAAAAGGAATTAAAATCCCTTTTTTTTTTTTTTTTTGCTAATAATTTGATTTCAAACGAAACTCAAATTTCTCTCATCCTCCTCATTTCTACACGTTTCCTCTTCTATATATATAATATATATATATATATATATCAAAAAGTTACCTTATGCGATTTTTTTTTTCTATGCAACTTTATATATATATATATATATATATATATACACACACACACTATGATTGGGCTTACGTCATTGGTAAAGAAGGCCGAAGCCTCTATTCTTCTCTTGTTGGGCTTGTAATCAATGTCAGAGGCCCATTTAGATATAGCCTTAGGAAAATCAAGTTCCACGTTGCACTCTTCGGAAGTTGAAATCCATTACTGCTGTATGGTTCTTGTGCAGTAATTTTTGCATGGTTCTTCTTTATGAATGAGCATGAGAGTACGTAAGGGAGTGACTATTTCTTTCTTCAGAATTTGGGAGGCCTTCATTGATTACGAACTGAAAGTAGTTAAAATTGCATGCATGGCCAATTGTGCAGATAAAAGAAGTCTGCTTTCTTTTATTCTACTTTCATGCCACGTTTGTAGTAGGCATTATTTTTCATTTGATATATAGGTTCTATGACATTGCAACCCATTTTGTTGTAGAGTTCTAAAACTTGCAACTCTAAATTTCTCTTAGAGGTTCTAAATCTTGCAACCCCATTTTTATGAGATTCGATGAACTTGCGATCTCATAATTTTTTTTTCTAAGAGTTCTAAAACTTGCAACTCTATATTTTTGTAGAGGTTCTAAATCTTGCAACCCCATTTTCTTATGGATTACTAACCAAATGGTGTAGAACCCATTTTTCCTTAAGACAAAATTCTTTTATGGGAGATCGGACTTTTGAAATAGAGATATTGTGAGAAACAAGACTTTGTAAAGAAATTTCCTACTTATCCATTTGTTGATCTAACTATTTAAAGTGTAGTCAATAGGATGAAGAGGAATTTTTTTTGTTTTAAAATAAAGATTCACAAAAAACTTTTTTTTTTCTCTCTTTTCTTCTCTGACTTTCTCTCACTCTCTCTCTCACGTTGATGTTGCCTTCTCATGCACTGTCCGAATCTCCTCCTTAAATTTGCATTTGATGGATTAGAAAAAAATAATAATAATAAAAATGTGCATTTGATGTTGCCTTTTATAGGCAAAAGTGGGAGGGGAAGTTATTTGATCTCATCCCACGTGTGTCTCTTGCCAGGAATTACTGATCTCACTTTTTTGTGGATTTGAATTAGTGGGTGGTTGTTTCAAAGGATACCAATCCGCAAGTTTTGTTTTGATTGGTTTATCCTCTTAATCCTCAAATATAATTGGCCATTTTATTTTTCTTAGGATTGCCCTCCTACAATGCTTGCATCCGATCGGCTAACTTTAATAACTTCCATATAACAGATTTGTGAATTTTCTCACGCTTCATCCATCGTCATATTGACCATTTTACAAATTTTCACATGTTTTAATTGCCCATGAGCAATCCAACTTTTCTTACGTGGCCAATCTGATACATACATATATATATATATATATATTTATTTTTTATTTTTTTGTTTCAACACATTTTATTCCTGGTATGTGCGAGTTGACATGACACATACTTTCTTTTTTCATCAGGTTCTTTTGAAAAGTGGTCCTTATGGGTATTATGTACAACTTGGTGAAGACAGGAAGAACTACGTGCCTAAAAGAGCTTCTCTTTCCCATGTATGTAGAGTTGAATACATGTTGATTGACGTCTTACCTATAATTGTTTTACTTGATTACGGTCTTGCTTTGATCTGTGTTGATAACTTTCACTTATATATTTGGTTTAGATTTCTGATATATTGGAGCACTTAATCTTTAAATATTCCTTTCAGATAAAGGATGTAGAGTCCATTACGCTCGAAGATGCCCTCGAGTTGCTGCAATACCCTTTGACGCTGGTTTGTTTTCCTTTCTAAATATAGTTCTGTGTCTTTTCTTCGGTATCCTTGAAACTCATTTATTTTTCTGTTTAATCTCTCATTAGGGGACACATCCAGATGATGGGCAACCAGTGATATTAAAGTTGGCAAAGGGTGGATTTACTGTCCGACATCGTCGCAACTCCGCCACTGTACCTAAGGTATCTTTCCATTAAGCAGTCTGCGAATCCACTGTGCTTGACAATCTTCCTAGCTTTCCATAGATTTTTATCTAGTTGAATATGTTGGTGACTTGAAACATGCATGCAGACTGTGGATCCAAAGGACGTTGACCTAGCAAAAGCATTGAAGTATTTATCTGGTAAAGATGTAAGACGATCAGGTCGGCCTAAGAGACAACCGAAGGTTGAAGAAGCCATTGAGGCGGTGTAGTCGCCGTGGTGAGTTACACAGGCAAATGCAAGATCGTCTGCAAATTGTGACATTCTTTTCACTAACCAAGTTGTGGGATGAGCTTAAAAGGCGACATTGTTGGTTGGTGGTGATTTTATCCTCTCACTCCATAAATTGTGAATGGATCATACAAGTACTGGTATCTCACTTTAGCTGCTAGAAATTCTTTTGACAACAATAAGAGGTTTAGAGAAGAAAGAAAAGACCAACAATTTTGTTGTAAGTTATCGCATTATTTGTGTAAGTTCCATTTTTTTAAATTCGAGTTTTATGTACCTTTTCCTCAGTAAAAGGTTCATTATAGATTCATTTGTCATTATAATTAGATTTTGTTGGACTGGTCACATCAACCTGCAATTTTGAACTTTTGAGTTGAAATTCCCACGATCTTTTATTAAAAAGAGGAAAAAAAAACGTGATAAAAGTTGCAATGATTTTGAATATAATTCCTACTTTTGAATAATTAAAATAGTTAGAGGAACGTGCATACGATTATGGATATACTACTAGCATGCAAGATTGAAGTCCTATTGCAACTCCTAAGGAAAATATTCTCTGGTTTTCCTGAAATCTTATCCTCTGCTTCTTTCTTTTCTCTTCAGTTTTTGGTTATTTTGTAGCTTGTAATTCCCTTTATACTCAATTTTATTCTTTAGAGGATACCTTATCCTCTTTCCTTTATATTTGATTCTTTAATCAATAAAAGGAGTTTTCTCATTAAAAAAAAAAAAAAGACACGAATTTGATATGGTTCTCAGTGCTAATAATTACAGCTTCCACTTGATGCAACTAGGGGAAATAAGACTACTAGGATTTTCATATAAAAAGAGAAAAAATAACAAAAATTCCTTGTAAATATGATATTTATAGTACAAGCGTAACCATGTTTAGTTGTTTACATACTGAAAAGCTCTACTTGAAATGAACAATTCAGTGTTTCTTGCTTTTTAAGGATCTTGGCTGTTCTTCAACATCTGTCTCTAGAGAAGTAAATCTGCTAGCGCTGATATCTTCAGCGACTTTGTTGTCCGTCGCATATTCTTTCTCAATTTTCTATGAAAGACAAAGAAGTTGAGCTCTTCTCGACTTTCGGTTGAAGATAGCATGAGAAAAACGTATATGTCATGAGGATCCAAAAATATTAGGAACCTCAACTACCTAACAGAACTTTCCCTCACCATGTATGGAACTTGATACGACTGTTAGATGGTTTTTTAGCCTTCTTTCGACTCACAGGGAATAGTGGTTGATACGTTTCTTGAACTACCATTAGATCCTGTATATGAAGAGTGTTCCTGGAAAGAAGGAAAAAAAAATCATGCAAAGTGATTTATAATTGCTTGATGACAGAATATGATCATACTGGGTTTGGAAAGAACATTCATAATTCATATCATACATCTTTTGAAGGAATTGGATGATCTGTTATGATTTTAGGAATGACCCTATAATCATTTCAATTCCATTACTAAATTATTTAAATATTCTTAACTTTCAACTGTTACATTCAAATTAAGGAACACAATACTGTTTAGACTATTTAACAGATATCATAACAGACTGGTGTATTTTATATCAGAGGACGTTGTGAATGAAATTAGGATCTGTCTTAATGTCACTTAGATTATGTATTATGAATGACTTTGATATCATAACGCGACGGGAGATCTCTTTAGACATCATAAATTTACCGTTGCTTTATTAAACAGATGGTATAGGTATCTAGGGGATCAGTTCTGCTGATTATAAGTAACTATAAGTTATGAGGAGCGAGTCAAACTTACTAGCTGCAGGGAGACTTGGCTATAGTTGGACATGGGGCTTCCGTCGCCGTCCAAAAACATGAGCTGCATATTGTCTTCGGCAAACGCTCTCAATGTATTGAGTTCTGGGAGGATAACCGTGTCAAGGTCTGGTCTATCTTTCCTTCTTAGCTCTGCACACTTCAAAGCGAGCTTGGCAAAGTCTAAGGCTTCTTCAATTGGCCAATCTGGCACACCTGGATCAAGCATTTGAGCCAAAGTCCCCTTCTCAAGAGCCCTCTCCACATGATGAGTCAACCCCATAGCTGACCTTGCTGTTATTAGTTGTAGAAACATGATTCCTAGGGAGTATATGTCGGACTTTACACCTAGCATGCCCGTTTGCTGATATTCGGGATCAATATAGCAGAAAGTGCCTGCTGTGGATGTCATGCGGTATTGAGTCGCATTGTCAGCAATTGATGAGGGTACTAGTCTGGCCAGGCCGACATCACTAATCTTGCTAACGAAGTTGCGATCAAGGAGAATGTTTGCCGGTTTTAGGTCACGGTGCACAAGTGGCTCTGGCTTGCTTTGGTGGAGGAACAATAAGCCAGTGCCAATTTCAGCCGCAATTCTAAACCTGAGTTGCCAAGAGAGAGGACGGGTGTTTCCTTGACGGAAAAGACGGTCTTCCAAACTCCCATTAGCCATGAACTCATAAACTAAACAGCCGTACTCTGGGCAGGCTCCCAGGAGGAGGACCATGTTAGGATGCCTCATGCAGCTTAGAATCTCAACCTGTAGATCAGTTCAGAATACAGCAATTTAGTAATGTATGGATATCGAAAAAGAGTGGCACGCTTCTTTTTTTTTTTTTCTTTCTTTTTTGTTATGGCACAATCTAGCAGGAGGAAGTTTGAATAAATCAGGGTGGATAATTATTGCTAAAATTGGCATGGGAAAAGAAAAAGACCTCCAAATTTACTTACAGATGCTCTCTTCTGTGACTAATGTCATTTGCGCATAGCAATCGAAGTGAATTTATCACCTAAATTGGCATTGTAAGCCTGCGTGAAGTTTGCCTATTGCATTAAGTGTTGAGGTTAAATCCCCATCAAGCGTTTGATTTTCAGGGAATTTTCAAGACCTAAATTAGTTGGATTTAGTTCTAAAGTATATCACGACTCTGTCAATTTAACTTCCATAGTTTTATAAGGCCCTTCTCCATTTAAAACCTTTCTAGATTTCGGGTTGATTGAAGATTTTCTATATGGGTTATGATATCATACCTCCTGTTGAAATTGTGACCTTCCTTGAGCTGCATCCGGACGCAGAACCTTTATCGCTACAGGTGTATGATCTAGATAACCCTTATACACAGGTCCATAACCACCTTCTCCAATCTTCCGGGACTCTTGGAAAGATCCCGTCGCAGCCTCAATCTCATCAATTGAGTACTTCCTATACCTGATATCTGTCTTTGCCAAAGCATCAAACGCTTTTCTCCTCTCCTCTGCTTCTTTGAGCGCTTTCTTTTCTGCACTAATTCGTTTTTGTACTTCTAGGTCTGCAATCCTCTTAGCTGCCTCTGCAGCCTCAATGGCTACTTTGGACTTGGCCCTTTCCTTTTCTACAAGCATGATTGCAGCTTCCTCGGAGAGTCGAGCCTCTTCTAATCTCCTCTCTTCTTCCTTTTTCCACCGTTGGAGTTCTACCGCCTACGTTGTGCAACCGATTTTAGAACATTCTATAGAATTTTATCAGCTGATATGGTAGTGTAATTTCTTATACCTTCTTGTTTGCTGCGAGTGCTTCTTTGCATGCAGTACTATACATTTCCATTGTTTGCTTGAGTTCAAGCTTTAGCCTCCTCATTTCAGCCTCCACATCGTCCTGTAATTTCGACTTGAAAGATTATTTCTATTTCAATAGTTTAGTTTCACGTACCAATATTGACAACCATGTATAATAACGCTTAAAGAGTAGGGTTCAGAGACAGAGAAACAATAACATGTTGCAGTCAAGCAAAAATGGAAAAAACAAAAATAAAAAATAAAAAATTGTAAGCATAAAAATTGATATAATATATATGCAAATAGTAACCATTAATGGACAATTTTCAAAGTAGTCCTTACTATTGCCTGTGACGAGCAAGACAAGTTGTCACTGTCTTGAGAAAATGAAGAGAATTCCGATAGGGAATAGTTATCAACCGACCTCCACCCAAACTGCATAGACTCAAAGCTGCCGTTAAGGTCCACGTCTGTGCCGTTTGACACCCTTGGTGTGGTCCTGCCTGAGTCTAGGTTGTCATTGAATGATTGGTACACGTGATCAACGCTCGGTCTCCCGGAGCTGATGAAAGATATGTCGCTATCCGGCATAGGAAGTTCCCCATGTGATCTTCCTTTTAGACCTATTCTAGTGAATGGAGACCTGCATTCCAATATGTTAGCAATATATTCTCTCATTTTTGCTTTAGTACAGGATGCTAAAATCTTTTCATCATAACTAGAGTTCTTAGACTACAAAAATAGAAAGTTATTTTCTACTCCTGACGAAGATTCCACCTGTAACTGACCTGATGGAATCAATGTCGTCATGTGATTTGCGCAGCGGTTCTGGTGGCTTTTCAAATCCTGATAGAGGATCAACATACGAGCAATAGCTTAGCCAATGGCTAGAAAGAAAAAGCAGTATGCAAGTGGTGAAAGGAACTAACCCTTCATGGAAGCAGTAGGTAAGGGAGAAACATTAGGCTCCAGTGGCTCCGAGTTTAGGCTTGATGTCTTCTCAAACTCGAAACGTAAAGGTGAGTTGGCCGGAGCAGGACGCAAGGCAGACCGCTGTGATTGAACCTTTCCCTTAGATATTACATATACATTGCAAAAGTCTGGTGCCCCTTTTGTCACAGAGCTTGGAATGTCCGTTACCTTGAATCTTACCAGGAAGAAAAGATTTTCACAATAAGAAACAAAAAATGTTCTGATAAACCTCTAGGCATTGTTTATTTGTGCACAAACATTACTTATCCTTGAAACTAGCCATTGACACAGTGCAATGTACAAAATCACTAGAAAATTTTACTAAATCTTACAGAACTTGTGATGTTAACAAGTCCAGTTTTTATGCTTAATCAGTTAATTCTACAAGTGTTTTCTTGTGGATTAGGTGAGATAGAAAGAAAGGGTACTTACCTAAGGAATCCATTTCTTGCCGAGGCACCGAGAACTAAGTTCTCGATTGCTGCTTGCGAAACGTATTCCGTCAATGCTTTGGCTACATCTATGTCTTCCAACATGATGTCTTTGCATTGTATCTAATGTGCAAAAAGGCACAAAAGCCGCAGTTAAGGCATGATCGGACCATGCTACATTTTAAATGAAAATGCATGTGTTAGTATTACATTTACTTACATCTTTTCGTGTACAAAAACAACGGAAAGGAAGTAACAGTTTCTTGGTCTGTGCATCAGGCTCTTTGCATAGGACCAAACTCTCCTCTCCTGTAAACTCAACAAATCAGCAGGCAAGAATGAGAATAAAAAATGATTATCATTCGCTTAAGCTTATAAGAGGCGGACTAACACTAATTCTTAACTTTCAATACTCCTCATTCACATGTTGGCCTAGATAATATCAAGAGAGATAAACTAGCAAAACACATGATGAATTAAGGAGTATTAAAAACAAATTTCTTTCACGTGTAGGCCTAGACATTTTTCGGGACACAAATTTGTGTCCAAACATGTAATGAATTAGAAAGGTTAATAACAAGAGTTCAAATTCAAGACCACTTTCCTCTAATACCATACCAATTTCCTCTCAAAATTTAAAGTTCAAAGGAGGTCACCAACATTGGTTCTTATTTTCTAATATATGTATAAAAAAAAAGTGAGCCAAGAAGGGAAAAAAAATATTGGGAAGATAATAATTTATGACTACGTACTTGCATTGTAGTTACAAACATTAGACGCTGAGGAATGGGAGACATGTTTAATCTCAACATGGATCAGAATGACTGTTCTGCCCCTTTGGAGGAGATTGTCAATTGCCCATATCAATGCATTCTGGCTGTTCTTGTCTCTGTCTATTGCCACTGCCACCAATCCATTCCCTCCCTTCTTCTCCAATTGATTTTTTGGCAACCACATTTTTCTCTCTTCACTTTTTTTTTTTTTTAAAGTTGTTTTCTGCTCAAACAAATTCAGATAAACGGAACCCAGAAGACAAATTAAGGTTCTTTTTCACTAGAAACAAAAAAAAAAACCGAGATCCCAATTTCTTGTTTTTTTTCTTTTTTTGGTTCTTGTATTTAAGTGGCAGGTTATAGAAAAATTTCCTGTCTCTCTTTTAGGAGGTCAAAGAGAGACAAGGAAAATTGGTTGGCCTATTTCTCTGGTACTTTGGACTTGAAATGTGTTTTATCTGACTTTGATTTCTTTCTAGGAGAAATGCCAGCTTAACGGCCTAAGGTTCCCCTTGAGTCAAGGTCCCCCTATTATTAGGATCATTAACTACCTTTGCACCTCAAGATTCTTTTGTTAGAAACCATTAACTAATTACCTTTTTTTTAAAGGAAAATTGCATTTTATTAAAATAATGATAAACAATCGTCTTAGTACAATGCTAGCTCATCATAGGGATAGACGCACATCTGAGACCTGAAATCGAAAAATTATTTCGGCACACTAACAACGAGCAGATTAAAAGCTCGACTAGATAAAACCCTCTCTTCAACGCAAGCTGTCCAGCCCTGAAGGGGTAGATCGTCAAAACTCACAGAAAGGGGATATCTATACAACATAGAAAAAATTTTAGCCGGACCAAGACCAGCCTATCAACATTAAGCTGAACACCTAAATATAACAAAAAACAACGAACCAGACGTGGCTCGGATGAGGAAACCGCCAATCTTATTACAAACACAAAAGTAACAAAAAGAAAAAAAAAACCTCCAACAACCGCTGGTTGAAACTTCTGGTGAAGGGCGTCTGGCCAAAGGACTATCGAGGAAGATAGCCAACAAAGAGATCTCAACCACAAAGCAGAAAACTCCCCTGAGAAAGGAGACCGTCCATTTGGCTTCTAAGCTCTTAACCGGTTTAGATCTTTTCAAATAGAGCTACCACACCGTACACCATCAATGAGAAGCTCATGACTAGACGAGCCAAAAGACCAACTTTCACAGCCGGGAGCTCGGTGACATGCCCCAAAAGCGGTGTTGCTAGCCTCTGTTCTCCAAAGACCTTCTCACTCTCTCTAACTCTCTCTCGAGAAATCGCTTCTCCCCTTGGCCATCAATGCGCTTATTTTGTTTAACTTATTACCTTTACACCTCAAAAATATTGTACATCTAGGAAAAAAAAAATTTCTTATTTCTTTGGTCTTAGTTTAATTCTGTAAAACTCATGAAACAGGAACTAAAGATTGACTATTTAACTTTTTTTAAACGTCTCTTGCATTTCAAACATCATATACTCCTCTTTCGAATAACTGTTTGGTTGAAAATTAAGAAGATAAAAACAAATTTAACTACTGAACATATACACTTCTTACAATCGAATAATTTTTTTTAGCTTTGGCCTTAATCAAGTTCACTCCTAAAAGTAAGTTCTTTTCAGGAGTTTAATAAAAAAAAAAAGAATATTTTATCAAATTTTAATTATATGTTATTGATTATGTTTTAATATTTTTTCTCTTTTTAATTATAATATCCTATTATATTCATGGTTTTCATTCTCATCAACAATTCTTTTTTTTTGTTAGGGTTTTTGTTATTCACATTTTTAGTATACATATTGAAAAAACTAATTGAATCACTCAAAAGAGATGTTTAAAAATTATAAAAAAAGATACAATTAGAACAATAACTAATTGGGGTATTATTATAAAAAAGATACAATTACAATAATAACTAATTGGGGTGTTTAGCACACCTACACTCAAACTTTTCAACCTTTGGCAACTAGCCCATAAACTTTTAATTTTTAGTTGCTTTCCTTCTTTAAACTTATTAAATTGGTATAATGTGACCCTTTGTAATGATGATTGTATTAAATTAGTAATGGAAAAGAACGTTCGACTAAAAACTTTAAAATTCTACTTCAAATCCTAACATAAGTTTCACAATTCGTAGCAAAACTTTTAAAATAGGTCACAATGCAACAATTTAACAAGTTTGAGAGTTGAATTGTCAAAATCATAAGTTTAGAGGGTAAGTTGTTCAAATCTAAAAAGTTTAAGGGCACAAATATTAAAAATCTTAACTAATCAAGTCCCACATTGCGTAAAGAAAACATGATTAAAATTTGCTTCTTGTATTTAAGAGGCTTGTGGAAAAAGAGGCAAGTGCATGGTTTGAGATGATTTTTTAGAAACTAATTAAGTCTTATTATTTATGTCATTCTAAATAATTAAGTACCATTGTGATCTTTTATTTTCATTTATCTTATTAATTGAATGACATTTATTTAGTTTTAAGTAAAATCGCATAAATAATATTTCACATGAGCTCAAAGTGACTCAAACTCTCAACCTATAATTAGGGTGAGGAATTTACAACTAACTAGACTGCCCTCACTCGTCAACTTATATCTATCGTTAGTTGATATTCAAGTTTCAAGACCTCCAAAAATAAAAATATAGTTCACTATTTTCTTATGTGTTGGAAAAATGGCTTGTTAAGCCATTTTAAAGGCCCATTTTGAGGCTCATATTCGGATGGAGCCCAATAGGTTTTTGGGACGGGTCTCGATGGATTTGCGTTTTCCGTCGCGAGGAGATCGAAATCAAGTATTCATACACTCAAAATGGTTTTTGGGTGAATGAAAAATTGATGGTCTAAGTATGTTACTTGGAATAGTAAATATAAAAGAAAATTGTAAAAGTCTCACATTGGCTAGGAGTAAAGCCAATGTGGTGTATATAAGTGATTGCACTTTGAAGCTTAGGTAAGCATGTATACTAGAGAGGCTCTCTCACGCGCAGGGGGGGTGCGAATCACGATCCCGACGGGTTTGGGGCCTAATGTGTGCGCCCACGACCTGCGGACACGAATGCCGGACTGGAAAACCCGCTCCGTGCGAGCTTACTAGCATAATGGTGATTAAAACCAAGCTTAATTGTGATGATAAAAGTTGGTTATTGCATCCGTTTTTTCTTGAACTTGGATATGTTTTGTGGCCAGATTCATCATGGGAAATCAAAACGTTTCGCTCCATTATTTTGCAGAGTGATGGCTGGTTTTAATCACCATTATTCCGGGAATAAATATGGGTTATTACACCATAATGTCTTGGTGTAACACCCAGATTTTAGAGCCTATATAAAGGCCAAACTCCACATGAACAAATGACACTTTTCAGAATTCTCTTCTCCTCTTTTCGGTTCTCTCTTTGTCTTGGGTAGTTCTGGATTTCCTTGAGTAGTTCTTCTTGTTCCGTGTTTGGTGATAGAGGAAAGATCAAGTTTTAGTTCGCCGGACGGTTCCGAAAGTGTATCGAGCTACTGTCGTTGTTGTTGTATCCTGGGAGACGGACGTCCAACGTAACCTCAAGCATACGCCGGAGGGGACGAATCTGTTTTAAGGAAAACGTGCTCCACATGCCTCGATATTCTTGCAATTTTCATTTTCGAGTTTTTTTAAAAAGGTTAAATTACAATTGTATGAATTTCGGTTTTGTTCTTCCTTAACTTGTTCCTCTTTTGTATTATTCATACTATTTCGGCTAACATTATGTTCTCATGATATGCAACTATACAAAACAACACCGAAGAATGTAAATATTACATAAATGGAGTGCAACTATTTTGTTAGTTTTTTTTTTTTTTTTTTCAACATGTCAATGTCTTTTTTTTTTTTTTTTTTTTGGTAGAAATCAAGTAATTCATTAAGCCACGTGAGATCAGTGTTTTAAGCCAAATTTGTTAGTGATAACTATTTCTTGGTATACTTTAATTTTCTAATTGATAATATTATATTCAAGTTTAAATGTATCTTCAAAATAGTTAATGAATTAAAAAAAAATTGTACATAACTATATACGACACTATTTAATACAAGCACTTCGTGATAATTGTTCGAGAAAAACTGGGAGAAGACTTAGAAAATAATAAAATATAATGTTGATAGTGTCAAGGAATATTTACAAATATGACCTTTTCAAAATATATTTTTAGCAGATCTTTCTTAATTTTTTGAATTAAAAAAAAAATTATGTAAAAGAAAATGACTACAGATTAACTGAGGATAAATGAAATGTCGGTAAAAAGGAAAAAAAAAAAAAAAAAAAAAAAAAAAAAAAAAAAAAAAAAAAAAAAAAAAAACACGCACACACACACACATTTACCTAGGAGTATCTACTTAAAGTAGCACTTTAGAAAGGGCTCAACCCCGCAAAAAACACTAACAGAATTTGGTGAACAATGCTACAATATATGCAAATTATACTTATAAAGTTTTTATTCCTTATAATATCAAACACAATTACATCATAAATCACCAATTTTGTTCATCAAATTATATAATTAAAGCTTCCCAAAACTAGTACAATTTAAGATGCCTTCTCCACACAAGTTGGATGAAGATCATAGTCACACACATCACAAGAGAATGCCCAGAATCTCCCCTGCTCTTTACAGCAGTCACACACATATGCTTTGGCCATGTCCAATTTAAGTACATGCTCATGCTTTACATCCTTCACTTGGGCAGGCAAAGCCTCTCCTTCCTTTATCAAAGCAGCCTCCAATTCTCTTATCCTCGACTCTGTGAAGGGAAATGCCTTGGCGCCATATAATGACACCATGGCCTTTCCATTTGTGGTCACGGATTTCCCATCCGCTCCAATCAGGACTAGAGCCGGGATCTCTTTTACGTCGAAGATTCTGCAGAGGTCTTGCCGGGTTTTGTCCTCGTAGGGAATGGCATGCCATGGCATCTTGCTTATGTTCAGCTCAAACTCTTTGACATCTCTGTCTGTTGATACTAGTATGATTTCCAATGAGCATTGATCATTGGTGTTCATGAGTGTGTTGTATGCTTCTGCAAGTTTCGTGGTGAAAGCTTGGCATGGAGGGCTCCAGTGGGCCCCGAAGTATAGGCCGATCGTCTTTCCAACAAGTTTGGAGACTGATGTCTGCAAATGGGCATAAGAAATAACAAGTAATTAATAATGCTATAAGTACCAACTCTCATATTCTTAATACCAAAGGTCAATTAGTGTAGACGTTGAAAATGTGTCTAGTGTAAGTTTCAAGTGACCGAGAAGTTGTTAGTAAAGAAAATTTGGTTTCTTTTTTCTTTCTTTTTTTTTTTTTTTTTTTTTTTAGTAAAGAAAATTTGGTGACCCTAGTGGTAGGAAGCATTAAACTACCTGTCTAGCATCTCTAGAAATGACATAGTTACGTCCTTCATGTGCCAAAAGTTCTTCCAATTTCCCTCCTTCACGCTTTGCCTTGTCAAAAGCCTTTAGCTGTTCTCTTCTCTCCCTAGTGAATGGATATGCTTCAGCACCATACTCCTCAATTAACCCGATCAAGTCCTCTTCGATGGAAATTCCATCTGAACTTAATGGAATGAGAGTCGGGATGCGATCAACGCAGTACGTGTTGCTTAATTGCCTGTGTAGATTTGCATCAAAGGGGACAGCCAGCCATGGCATGCGCTTAAAATGTTCCTTGAATTTGTAGTCATCATGGTCAAAGGAGACAAAGATAATCTCTAGCTCTTCTCCTTTAAGTTTAAGAGAATTATAGAGCTTCACTAGTTGCGGGGTGAAAGCTTTGCAAGGCCTGCACCAATTTGCAGAGAAGAAGAGGCAAATAGTCTTTCCATGACAGGATGACAATGGTACCTGCTCTTAAAAACAAAACAAAAAAATCCAATGTTAAAGTCATAATATATACGCACACACACTAAGAAAAACTCCTCTACAATGTTAAATTACCAATTCCCAAAAGATTAAGCTGTAAATAGATGAAATAATAGTTTTACAATCTAATGTGTAGGCTGGACCATGGACAATAGTGTGGTTAAATATTAATTAGACGACTTGACGCTTGAATATTCAATTATAGGATTGAAACATATTGAAACACATAATGACAATATTAGAGAGTGCAATTACTAGAGTTTTAACTCGAGACCTCTTTCTATGACACCGTGTTAGATAATCACTCCGATAATAGTCTTAAATACACACACACACACACACACACACACACACATATATATGACATTTTAAGGCACACTTCTAATCATCATGCAACCAAAGAGAAAGTGGATATATGGACAACTCATAAAATCAATCTGGAGAAAGCCCAAATATTGGAAATCTCTCAAGTATTTAGTAAGCCCTTATTCATATAAGGGTGAAGAAGAACTATAGGTACTACTTGGGGTTTGATATTAGAATGAAAAGCCAAATAAGCAGTGCAGGTTTTGTTAAAGAGTGTTACCTTTCCTTCACCCGAAAGGAGGAACTCAACCCCTACAAATGATAAGAAGGTAACAAGATCGCTTACATCAGTCGATTTGGGTCGGTTTTCTGGTGCTTCCATTGCAGCTACGAGCAGAGAAACGGTCTGAAGCTTGGCCTTATCTATTTCCCCAGAAAACTTGATGGCCAATAAAAAGAAAAGATAAAGCAAAAGAAGAGTGGCATTTACAAAAGTGCAAAATGGAATTTGCAAATTAATCCTTCAAGATGCTATTCAGATTGTGCAGGCCTATTTGTTTCCAAATGTTAGGAAAGTAGTGATGCCTCATATTCTTCAAGGGAATTTAGAACCTTTAGTTGATCAACTTGTGATGGGCTTATTATATTCTTTCAAAAATACTCCACTAGGGAGTTATACAATGATTCATTGAATTAAACCCACCATTTGTATCTCTTGCTATATTTTTACCTTTGGCTTAGGAATTAGATATGTAGTTAAGAGTATGGTACATAATTGTTTTCCATTTAAATTAAGAAAGAGAGACAAATACGTTTTGCAGGTTCACCTCTTTTACTACCCTTTGGTTATATCAGATAGAATGGTATTTTTTTTTTTTTTTGGTTTGACCTTTTAGGAAATATACCTCACAATCTAAGTATATATTCTTCTCTTTCTGAAAGATAATGTGATCAACGATGTTTTTCACACGCCTTATAAGTTACAACCGTTGGATTTAGGAACTTCTAGAGCGGTT